TTCAGGTTTCCTGTCAGGCTTCCCAGGACTGCAGAGTATAAGAGCCTGTCTCTCTGCTCCCCACTCATAACCTCAAGACATGTTCATATCCCCTGACTCCCTTTCTACTGGTCCTCAGAGAGTTCAGGGCCCCCCTGGCTCAACGGCTTCCCAAGGAGGGTGGAGGCTGGACCAGGAGGAAGTTCAGGAGAGATGCCGGGGAAGCCAGTCAGGGACCTGGCCAACGTGCCTGTCTAAGGAGGCAGTGCCATGTGTCCTTACAACTGGTGGGGGAAACTGAGGCACGGCCTCTCTCCTCCATGAGGGGAATTGCCTCTGATGGAGGATATTGGGAACAAGGAGTGGGGAGCTTCTGAATGCCTGGAGGGGACATTGGGGACATTGTGTGTCTTCCAGTGACTGCTGTTCTCAAAGGTCCTCTCTGGCCCCGTGCATGGGGGATGGGAGGGGAGTCTTCAATGTCCCTCACACATTCTTGTACCTTGTAACCAGGGCCTCTGCTGAGAACTGGGAGGTCTGGAGCTCCTGTCCTCACCTATGTGGATTCTCAAATTAGCAGGCAAGAGTGAGTTCATATGCATTGCACTGACAGGATACTAAAGCTGGAGACCTGGGGACCCGATACAGGAGGACTGAAGAAACTGAAGTTTGCAAGAGACAGATACTGAAAGAACAGCGGGTCCAAATACAAGATTAGGACCAAAAAGTAGTCTATCATGCATGTCCCTCCTCTGACTATAAACTCTTGCTCCCTCACCAAACCTGTTCCCCAACTTTATTTACATCTTCTCTCCTCAGTGGCCCCAGCTGTCTGCCTTCCTCCCAGTCTTTTTCCCAGTATTAGGGAACCTTTTTCCTCAAAAGAAGAGGCGGCCTGAAAGAGTAAACTGGATTGAGTATTATTAACATGCAAACATCCTATGTTAAATATGTAAATGTTCCAGAGAGAACATACAGAATCCAGCAGAGCGTCAAAACTTGCATAAAATAGTCAAACTAAGCATCACAAGAAAAAAATATTTTGCAACTATGTGTGGTGATGAATGTTAACTAGACTTATGGTGGTGATCATTTTGCAATACATACAAATATAGAATAATTATGTTGCATACCTGAAACCAACAACAAATCATAACAGACTAGCTATATTAGAATTTAGCTTTTAGTTAACTTCATTAAACTAGCCCTTGTTAAGAATCACAGCTTCCCTGGAATGTAGTCATGTCCTAGGGCCTGTAGGCCTGCCTATAAGGCAAGTTTAGAAGGTATACTCTGCTTAAGGTAACAGAAGAATGTAACCTGTTAAGTGTGAAATGTGTGGCTCTGTTCTTTTCTTTCTGCTCGTAAGACAAGGTCACACTGACTTACAATCCCAAGATGTCTTACAGACCTCTCTCTCCACCTGGCCATAGTAACGTAGGACCAGGACAGGGACAGGATGCCGCCAGGAGCTGAATAAATCAGATTGCTGACGCTTGCATAAGAACTGACCAATCAATTCAGCCCAGGACCCGGGGCCTCTTATTTATGATTACCCATGATTTTTGTCTTATAAAATCTCTTGTCTGTAAACCATCCTGGAGTTCGGGGTTGTAAGCATTAGCTTCCTGGTCTCCTGGATGGCTCCATTCACAATAAAACAGCCAATATTTCTCTACTGCAAAGCCCTGGTGTCAGTTCTCATTGACTCACTGCACTCATGGGTGGTACACATTCTTTTTTGACTCGCTTGATTTCACACCTGAAACTAATAATATAATGTTATTTGTCAATTATGTCTCCATTTTTTAAAAAATGTCAAACTAAGAACTCATACCTTTTAACCCAGAAATTTTACTTCTGAGACTCTATTCTAAGGAACTAATTTTAAGATACAGAAAAGAGCTTGAGTAAATACATCCATCACAGCGTTATTTATTACTATCAATAACAGAATGAAAACGAGCAATGATTGGGAAGTTACGGTACATCAACCCAATGTAAAAATTATGTAGGCATTTTAAATGTTCACTGTCCAAATGTAATTAAGTGAAAATTAATGTTATAAAATTCAAAGTAAAAATATATAAAAAGTAATAAACAGACCATAATCAAAATTATGCATGGAAAAAAGAGTGTAAGAAAACATCAAAATATTAATAGTGGTTGACTTTAGTTAGTAAGGATATTTTTCCTTTTTATATTCTTATAATTTCCAAATTGTTCATAATTCTATAATGCAGAGGGAAAGCTTTTAAAAAGGCAAACTTCTTGGAAGAAGAAAAGTTTTACTTGCATAAAAACTTTTTCCAGGTTTAGTTGAAAACTAGTCCTTTTAATATCAGCACTCAGGATAGATACCACTTTCTAGAAGGGCACTTGAAGCAATTAACATGGAGAATATGAGCAAGAGGAGCCAAAAAGAAACTTGGCCTACTTAGAAACCTACACTAGTTCCCTATGATCACCAGATAAGGAGCAGATTTCACTGCCCCATATTCAAGGTTCTTTGTAATTTGTCACCATGTATCCAAACAATATATGTGCACTTCTCAGCTGAACCTCTTTGTCTGGCTTTTTCTTTGCCTACCGAAATCCTTCCCATCTCTGTTATTTAATTCACTTCCATCCATGAAGACTTTCTTGAACCTCTGATGACCCCAACCTCCATAATTTCTCCTTCTTCTGAAGGTATTGAGATAGCTAGCACTTAAGTTTGTACCACCGTTTTCTGGTACTAGGCCAATTCTAATTATTTTGTTAATCACTTATGTGTAAGTAAATATCACCCCAGCTAGACTTTAAGTTTCTTGAAGTCAAGAATTTAGATGGTCTATAGAGAGTACTCATTGAACAAATACAGAAAGCGGGACTTAATCCAACCAGATGCTTCTCAAAATATGTGGCAAACGTTTTAAAGAGTCCTGTAAGAATTTCAAGAACCATNNNAGAGACAGAGACAGAGAGACAGCGAGAGAGACAGAGAGAGAGCTAAAGCCAATTTGGTATTAAATTCACACTCTCAGTGACGTTATCTAAATAAAATGTGTTGCCTGTTTTAAAATGCTTCAACTGACCTTCCATCCCTAGGACATGCACTTTCTTTAAAAAAAAGAAAAATAGCAGTGGTGTTGTCTTTTTGCTTACTCCTTCATACCATTTCTGCTGTCCCCCTTGAGATTAAACAGATTGGACTGCAAGATGCCTCACCATGATTCAGTCATGTAAAAAACAAAAAGAAGTGACTTCCTCTGAATCAAACTTAAGACTCATCACAAGACCCTACTCCTCTTATAGTCTTGTCTGAACAACAAATGTAAATGTGTGCCTCTATTTTATGGACTGATTTAGGCAGTGGGCTTTAGTCTATGAATATTCCCATTAACTTAAAGAAGAATTCTTCATTGCGAATGGCTCAATAAACCATGAGCCATTAGAAACCATGAGCTAAGATGACTATGTTCCTGTCTGCCATCAAGTACTATTCCAGTGCTTAGAGACAATTTGCCTTTGTACTATAGCAACCTGCCTCCTGAGACATTAACAAGAGTTAGCTTCCTCTATTTTTGCAGAAGGAGCATACAAGGTCCATAAAATTGTTGACTCTGAAGGGCAGGGCAAAAACTAATCAATTCAGTTTCCCACTCTACAGAACTACATTTTGCTACGATACACATACTTTTTTTAAGAGTCAATGCTTGTCCGGATTCCACAACTTACTGGCTATGTGATCTTGAACCTTCTCTGTATTTCAGTTCCTTAGTCTGCAAAATGGAATTAATCATCTGCTATGCCAAATCACAGAATCGTAATGATCAACTAATTATCAGTCTTGGCTTATCTGTCACCTTATAATGGTGACACCCTACAAAAACTGTTCAGTCACACACCCCATGAACTAGATAACTGTTCTTACTGCAAATGTTTTCCTAAAGTTTAAAAAAGTAAACGATACCCAGATTTTTTTTTAACTTTCCTGATTTCTCCAACACTTGAGCATCCACCATGTATCACTGCCAAAAATGTGTTGGACATCTCCTGTTATGACCCAGCTCTCCTATGCAGTGGTGTCCAGATTATCTTTTGGCATAGGCTTTCTTAGAAAACATGTTGTTGTTTTCACAAAATTCAAAGTGTGCTCTTACTTTCATACTAAAAGAACAATAATTCCACATGCAGGAAGTTTATAGGTTGTCATTGCTGTTGTATGAGATCACGCCTATGAAAATTATTTCTACGTTTAACAGACCATATATATGTACACTGAGATAAACCATTTCTTAATACAGTGAAAGGTCCATGGGCTTTAGGGTCAGGGAGATTTGTATTCAGATTCCTGTTCTGTGACCTTGAGCACATAATTTAACTTCCCTGCTGCTCACTTTCCACATATTTGCCTAGGCTCTGAAAGTATTATTTTCTACCTTAAATCTTTTCCTCCTATGTCAGGGCCAATCAAAATCCACCTGTTCTGAATACACAACAACTTTGATACAGCATCTTTCTCACGCATAGGGGAATGCATTGCAATGTGAAATCAAGCGCATGCTGGCATGAATTAGACATCCAATAGGGCAAAACAGAGAGAAACAGAGGCACGGACAAGGGCCATAGACTTCACTCGCACGTGTGAAAAAGACACGAATCTGACACACTTTGAAGACTGCACTGCACACTCACGGGGGTTTGTGCCAGGCTGCGGGGAAAGGACGGAATTTCAGAGCAAGCCAGTAGGGAGCCTCCCTGTTCACCACACCGGACCACACCCGCCGGGTAGTTCATCGGGAGCCTAGAAACTGAGGTGAGAGCTCAGCAACTGACCTCATCCCCCTCCCTCCCCCATTCTGCCCAAACCTCTGGGGCACGAATGGTGCTGAATCATTAGCACCAACAGCAGCAGCTCCCCGTTCTGCTGCTCTCGCGGGGGACAGGGTCCGCAGAGCAGTGGCCGAGACCTCGAGGACGTGAGGATGTGAGGACGTGAGAGGGGGTCGGGGAGGATCAGGGCAGCAGGTACTCACCCGAGTGAGAAAAGCCCAGCCGGGTCCTCGCCTCCCCGCCACAGGCGGTCTGTCTGCGGCTCCCGCGCGTCCCGGTGTCCCGCGGGCGTCCGCCCCCGGCCGCAGCCTGAGCTGGCGGTCTGGTGCTCCCCTCCGCCCACCTACCGCCCGAGGCAGCCACTGCTCGGGCTCCGGCGCTCGACCCCCAGCAGCTGGAGCAGCTGTCGCTGCCTAAGGAGGTGGTGGCTACGGACGGGCTAGACCATTTGCGGGCTGCGAGCGGGGGTGCGCGACGTGCGGAGCGGAGCTGAGGCCGAGCGCGCGTCGGGGCGACGACGGTTGGCAGGAACCAAGGACCAGGGGAATCCTCAGCACCGTCTGCTCCGGGCGGGCTTGGGCACGGCGGGTACCAATTGAGGAGCAAGTGCTTTTCCTGCCTCTTTACGGAAAACAGTCCCTTGGCTTTTCCAGGCACCCCCCCGCCCGGTTTGCCGTGGTCCCGCTCGAAGCTCCTTTAGAACCCGGCAAACAGAGGACTTAGCGACGGGAGCGCCTGGGCGGTGTCGCCTGGGCGGTGTCCCCGCCTAAGGAGATGCGAAAGGGTGCTGGCCTGAGCCATGCCTTCGCGCCACCTCCTGTTCCATCACGGGGCCCTATCGCGCCAGTTCATGGTGCACATCTTAGCGCAAATCCGCAGGGCTTCCTGAGTCCTTGAAGGGACTCCTCAGATCTTTTATACTAACATCTTTGTGGAATAAAGAATAAAAGGGCATCCAAGGCCAGCTTGAAAGTTAGAAAATAAAATCAAGTGGGCCCATCCTTTGTAGATACCAGGAAGTGAGGGGCAGTTTTGAATCACAGCGTCACTGCTCTGACAACGTTGAACCACAGTAGTTCGGAAAAATGTGGATTTAGGGAACCATTCTAACATACAGATCTACAAAAGATTATTAAAGAAATTGAAAAATATTTGAGGTTCATTGTTCACCATTTTACAGATTAGTGTTGGGAATGGGAAGGGAATCGTGTCCTCATATGAAATGGACTTTATAAAACTGGAGAGAAGTTCCCAGACTGTCATCCCTTGGACATTTGTGAAAGCACTTTTGTGGTCCCTGGCCCAGGCTACACAGGTTAATTTCAGACCATGATGGAGAAGGCGCAAAAAAAAAAAAAAGAAAGAAAGAAAGAAAAAAAGAAAGCCTGCAAATGCCTCCCAAGCAATATGAAATTTCTCCTTTAAAAAGTCATTTTCTCTCAATAAAGATTTAGTGCTCTTCTGAGTAAATTAACATAATTTTAACATACACTGAGCACCTACCAATGACCAAACACTGTACTGAGAGTATTTCCAGTTTTGTTCCTTTATTGATTCTTTGAAAACCTCCTGTGAAATTGGTAATACTGTTGCTGCTATTTATTTTTTTTTTTGAGAGAAACTGGGCTCAGAGTGTTGTACTGGATTCACATCTCAGATTATGAGTGGCCGAGTGGGCAGTGCAACCTGGAGTTTTCTATGAGTGTCTTTCCTCTAGAAAGCCTCTGGAAAATGTACACTAAGCCTTATCACATCCATGATCGGCACCTGAATGTTTATCCTTCCTTTTTGCTTAAACTCCCTTGGTAAAAACTAGGTTTCATGGTGGAGAAAGGGACCCTTAAGTATTTAAGGTGGATGTCGGTCACCCTTAGATTAAGAATAGGGATCAGAAAGAAGAGGCTGGACTTCCCCAGAACTAGCTTAGAAACATCAATGTCAGAAATGCACTGTTAAGGGTCATTTGAGGGTGAGGAGGAACTCTTCATTACCTATTTGCTAATCGTTTTTCACTATCATTTATACTATATTGCACTTTATACTACACTTAAACTGTTATTACTATATTATATTTTATACTATTATTCTTCCAATTGCAGAGTTTTTAAATGGACCTCATGTCATATACCTTACCAGAGTTTAGAGAAGTAACAGGGCATTAACTCTCACATCATCTTAAGGAAGCTATTTGAGAAATAAGGAATAAAATGAAATTGTCGCCTTAGGTTGTGCCATTGTTATTATGTCAACTTTTTAAATAACTATTCACAAGTCAATACCAGCACAACAGGAATCCCCAGAGCTCCCCGTTGCTGAGGAGCCTGGGTGCTAGATCCCCAGGGAAGCCAGGCAGCTGTGACTCAGGGCCAGGAGGGCCTCAGCCTCAAAAATGTGTGATTCTTCTCTCCATGCACAGTTGTTTCACTTCTAAAAGAGACAACAAAGGAACAGAATTGGCGTAGACAAGATGCCTTTGGGGGCCGGCCGAGTGGCACAATGGTTAAGAACTGGCTTGGGACACCAGAGGGCCCCGGGTTCAGATCCCACATACGAGGGCCAGTGACACTGCCCTCTACAGCTAAGATGCTGAACAACAGCTCAACCTGGAGCTGGGCTGCCATGAGTCGCCAGGGACGGCATAGGCTGCAGCCCCTGTGGCAGTGGGTTGCCATGGGTTACCGCGTGTAGCCAGCAGCCAGCAGCCAGCGTGAGCGGCCGTCCAGAAGCTGGTGACTGATCTGCCTCGCCTGGGAAGAGCGCAATGATGGTGCCAACTTGGGCCAGTGAAGCAACGTCCTCCACAACTAGACTGAAGAACAAAACGACAGCAACTTGTCTGTTCCCCTTCCCCCAATTCCCCAGCACTGTTCCCATCCCCCCAATTCCCCAATAAAAATAAATAAATTAATTAATTAATTAAAAAGATGCCTTTGCAATTAGTATTTTCTGTCTGTTTGACAGGGTTGTAAGAAAAGGGGGTAAGGTCTTGGGTGGTCCACCAGAGACCAAATTGGGATTAGGAATTTATCAGTTATAAACTTGATGGACTAGTGACATCTCTAGCCATATGTCTGTATGTATCAATTGACAGTACTGGAGCATATGTTTCTGAATGAAGGAAAGGGAAATGTTGTGCCAGTGGCCTTGAAAAACTGTCAAAAGCAATGGGGCCGTATTCCCTGCTGTCTGTCCCACAGAGTCTTCTGGTGGTTTTGAGCCCCTTAGGTAAGGAAGTGATGGCCAGAAACTGAGAATCCTTTTCACAAAATGACTTTCCGGGATTTAGGATCTAAGAAGCACTACTTTGGGCCCTGGTGACAAAGTACAGCACAGAGCTGGAGACAGGGCCATTCTCTCACCCTGCGTGCCATAAACCTCTATGAAGCTTTGCCACCAATACAGAAGGGCTCTGACCCAATACAGAAGGGCTCTGCCCAGCAAAGGCATATTCTCATAAAGGATGCTGGTGACCAATACAGGGTCAAGATAACTTGACTAGGAGCATAGAGCAACAGAACATGAGTGGAATTGTTCCTGAGCACCTGGGAGATACAGCTGAGGGTTGTCTGTCATAATGAGGGAGACTGGGGGGTGGGGGTAAGAGGAGATAATTGTTAAATTTAGGATGATTGTTAAACTTTATTTAGGCAGTGATATTAAGAGTCTAATTAGGACAGCATTGAATGTATGCATTCATTTTTGAAAATTTGACATTTATAACAGTAACATTCCATCCAAGGTGATAACAGACTTTTCCATGTGTTTATATTTTGTCTTGTAATTCCCAAGTATATTTTTATAGTTTTGTTCATATATGTTCTGCAACTTCCTGATGAATATATACCAAATTATTCTCTATCATTTGTCTTTTGAGTGAGATGTTCTTTCTATTTCCTTTTCTAGGTGCTTTGGCCTGAATAGAAAGAGACTTGTATTTCTGTGATTTATTTTGTATTCATCCAACACACCAAACTCTGTTATTACTTGGTTTTTCATGAGAGTCTCAGGTTTTCTAAGAAAACATGTCACTGACATTGGGAACTTTATCTCTTTTGCCATTATTTATACCAGTTATTGTATTTACATTTGCTAGAATCACGAATATATGTGGTGTCTGAGTCCTGGTTTTAAATGAAAGGTTTAATTTTTGCCATTTAAGATAATGTCTGTTGGTAGGCTTTTCTTTATTATTTAAGTATTTCCTTCTGTTCCTGTTTTGCTTTGAGCTTCCCTTGGATTAGTTGTGTGACCTTTATCTGATGTCTTTTCACTACTTATTGATAATGGTCAGGTTATTTTCCCTTTAATTTTTAATGTAATCAATATATAGATAGACTTCCTGGAATTGAACTGCCCTTTCATTCCTCTAATACAGCCTGTTTTGTCATGGTATATTACTCTTTTGATTCATTTCTCTACTATATTCTCTAATATATTATTTAAACATTTGGCATTTAGTTATGGGTGAAATTGGCCTGCACTTTTAATTGTTGTTGAATTCCTTCTTTTGCTTTGGTGTTTGAGGTATTCTGGCTTCATAAAATTAACTTGAGAATTTTCTATCTTTTTCTAAGACCCACAATAGTTTAAATAATATTGGAGTTTTCTATTCTTTAATGGTTAGATTAAAAATTCAACTGTGAATCCATCTGCCTGCTGTCTTTCTCAGTAGGAAATCATTAATCTCTTCTCTAATCTCTTCTATTATAATTGGTCTACTCAAGTTTTCACTAATTCTGTGTCATTTGTGATAATGTATATATATTTTCTAGGAAAGTATTTGTTTCTTCTAGGCTTCTTTTAAAGGTACTTTCCAGAGTTGCCTTTAATATTTATTATATTTAAAATTCTTTTAATAATTTTCCTATATTCACATGGTTAATCTTGTCTAATTTTGATTTCATTCTCTTTTCCTCATCAGGCTCACAGGATATTTATCTGTTTTATTGGTCTTTTAAGGAACCATTCTTTGAATTTATTATTCTTTCCTGCTATTTTATCTATTTTAATAATTTCAACTTCTATCAGTATTAATTTGCTTTTCAAAGTTTCTTTTGTTTTGTTTTTGTTGTTCTTGTTCTGACTGGATTCATTAAGTACTTAATTCTTTTTTTTTCACCTTCCGGCTTCCATTATTAAAGGGCAACACATTTTCCTCTGAGTTCAGTTTTGCTGTGCACTATTGTTTTAGCATGAAGTATATATCCTTAGTTATAGGTCTTCTTCTGTATATCCTTAGTTATAGGTCTTCTGTTCGATTACACTTCAGGAGGTTCTCAATGATAGTTTTTCTGCAGTTTAGTTGTAACTGATGTGGTCATGGGACAAAGTGAGCACAGCAATTACCTGCTCCACCATCTTGACTGGAACTCTCCATTTCTTTTTTCTTTTTTTTTTTTTAATTGAAATAAAATGTCCCCTTCTAGTCCTAAAAGTTTTGTTTGTGCATTTTGTTTCTTATTTTGTTTACTAAAAACGGTACTTTTAACCAACTCACAATGTCTGTC